ATGCGGAAACGGTAAATAAAAATCGATTATTTGATGCTAATAATTATAGTATTCATAGTATGACGCATGGGTAAATATTTCGATTTAGTATATAACGCGCGTTTACCGTAAGCTTTTGAAGTAATCTCAAATCTCTAACACTAATCGAAAGTCAAATTTAATAATAATGAATTATAATATACTAGGCTGCTGTATTCAAAAAGGGTTTTTCAAGAAGGGTTACGCAGAAGTTGCAGCACTGAATAGATTAAAACAGAATGGAAACTGATACGCAAATATACTGGCGCTTAAGGCCACCCAAAAATATGATCCGTCATATTGAAAGGGCTTTTCAGCAAAGTCCTAAAATTTAATATGGAATATTTTAAATACTTTAAATACACTTATACAATATTATTTATTGTAATATAATATTAATCATATTATTTCATTGCATTCATCTTCAATGAAAAGGATTTTACTTTTAAAAATGGTCAATAAAATCATATTAAAATAGTACTAATTTCTAACTTGTTCATTAAAATAATTTGTAAATTAAATTTTCTTCTAATAAACCAAAAAAAAAATATCGGTGGAAATAAATATCACAATTATAATTACTGTTCATCTGTAATATTTAGAACATAATATAATTTAATATATTAAAACCAGGGTTTCTGAACGGAACGTAAAAAAGCAGTTAAAGAACATTATTGTTGTTCATAAACCAGAATATAATGAAACGAAACCAATTATTTAATTTAGTTTATTGATCCTTCATATGAAATAAAATTATAAACTATTAAGTTTATTGACCTTTTTCACAAAGAACGTTATAAATTTAAAAGTTCTTTAAAAAATTGACATGAGGAGCGTCATAACCTATTAAGTTCTTTGAACAATTACTAGAAAAACATTATAACTTATTAAGTTCTTTTAACAATTACAAGAAAAACGTTATAACTTATTAAGTTCTTTGAACAATTACTAGAAAAACGTTATAACTTATTAAGTTCTTTGAACAGTTACATGAAGGACGTAATAAGCTAATACTTTCTTCAAACTTTTAACACATAAAACAACACAAATTAAACCGTTTTTTGAACTATTAAAATGACGTTGTGAATCAAAATTATTTTTTGACTATTTTGAATTTAAAATTATTTAAGAATAATTAGTACTTTAATATCAAAATCTAAAACTTGAATTACATCTAGTCCTATATTTACTAATAACTAAGATAAGGATTATAAATATATCCCAACAGCATAATGTGACTTTGAAAGAACGAAAGAAAATTCAACCAAAATAAATTCAATACTTGATCATTTATTTTTGACAATATAAGATGAGCGGATAGGTCTATAGCTATAATAATATATATATATAAAATGTATAAGTGGCTTAGTGTAACGTGGTGTATAGCTATAGTCACAAACGTGTTCTGGACTTCTGGCTGGTGTCACTAGTTCCTGGATGGGTGACCACATGAGTTATAGTGTCAAATCCTAGCTACTCAAACACGGTCAAGAAATAGAAACGTTATTCAAGAACGTATAACTTTAAGGCGTTGGAGAATATATGACGGTAAAACGTTCTTCTGATAAAATGTTTAAGAACGTATTATTTCAAAACGTTTTTCTAATTAAATTTACAAGAACGAATAACTTAACAACGTTTATTAGGTAAATCATTCAAGAACTTTAAATTTTTTTAAGTTTTTTTGGCGAACATTTCAAAAAACATAAACAATTTTAACGTTTTCTAGTGAAATGTTCGGTGAACCATTTAGTTTATTATGTTACAATCTAAAACCGTTTGTTGAACATTGCTTGACTTAACGTTTATCACAAATAAAGTTTAAAAACAAATTATGGAACTGAACCAAAAATTAACGGTTAAAGTAACCCTGATTAAAACCACTGGAGTAAATTATTTTTATTTTACAATATTTAAAAATCTAAAGTGGATACATATTTTTTTCTAGAATAAAAATGTATTTAAAAGGGAATCGTTTATTTTTGTCTGAATACAGTTTATGTAATAGCAAACATTGATCAACTAAATATTTAGATGTGCGGTCTACATAATATGAAGATTTTACATCCAAAAATTTAAGGTAGATATATGTTTGTATTTTTTTATTATAAGAAATAAGGTGTATTATATTTTATATTATAAAAAAAAAAAAAAAAATCAACAATATTGAATTTTTTTTATCAATTTCAGTTTATAAGAGTTACAAAAAATTAAAAAAATTATTCCCAGATGATGACAATAATATAAACAAAAGAAATTAATTTGAAAAAGTATAAGTAAATAATATAAATATTATTCTATAAGCTAACAAGCCATTTGTTGAGATCTTTTAAAATAACGAAGAAATTTAATAAATTACATGACTATTAGTTATATAATAGTTAGTTTTAAATGTAGTACAAAATAAAATAAATGGTTATTATATAAATACAAATATGAATAACAAAAATAAGGACAACTATTAGATAAGATATTGGTGTATCTATCTGTTTTTGATTACGAGCAAAATTAATACAATCCTGACAGAAGTATATGCTTTCCTAAACTTTTTCATAATATAACCACACACATATGTACATGTGTTCCTCTTAGATAAATCTACATTTTTATAATCATGGATTGTTGGCAAAAATCATTATAAACGGTGTTTCTAAATAATACCGAAATAATATAATCGTTTATTTTTTTTTCAATCTGGTAAATCTTTCGAGCTCTTTCAAGATGGCAGACTAAAATTTTCTATTCTGCTTAAAGTTATTCTGTGGTTGCAGCTTCAAATCGTTGTAAAATACTGTTATTGGAATGGCGATAAACCTTTTTTATTTAAAAAAAAAGATTGAAAATTGGTCCATTTAAAAAGAAGTCTCGGTGGGCCAATAATTAAAAATGTTTTTCGCATAGTTACAATATTATTAGGTAGGGTATTATAAGCGTTTTGAAAATATTTAATAACTTTTTTTTTATGTATTTCTTTATACAGTTATTAATCTAATAATATTCATGAGGTTTTGAATATAATAAATTTAAAAAAAAATATTACCATACAAATATATATTGCATGTATATATAACATGTGTTTTAAACGTACATTTTACCTGTTTTAATAATTACATCATGTACGAATTTAATGTGAGTATTTACTTTGTTCTTGTAGGTACACAAAATACATTAATATTAGGTTCTAATTCTCTAGAATCCACCCGGAAAACGACCACAGCAACAGAAAATGTTCATTTATATTTTATTTTGCAAACATTTCATTGTTAGGTAAATAAAAAATTAATCATGATTACGATACCCGATGAGAGAAACCACGTTTTGTGACGAACCGTTGTTATTCTCGGTGGAATCTTGGAAAATCGAATCTATAGAGGAACTATATGTTGTGCACAAACGAATTCAAATTAAATAGTTTTCGATTTATCGAGGCGTACCGAGTGTTATGGAAATTTCTAAGAAAATTTATTTTCTTTCGAATAATCAATTATTCGCTTTAGCTATATGATATATATATAAAGATCACGACGAACCGTTCCTTTTTGATTTTCTATATTTTTTTTTTATTATTTATTTATTTAGAATAAAAACATAATACTACGACCCTAACCTGTAAGTACCTGCATCGCCGCGTGCACGGTTATGAATAAAATAAATTACTCTTTGGAGTGAAAACGTCGAGAGAAATTAAACGGATGACTTTTGAAGGACTGAATATATATAATAAATATATTATGTATCTATAACGCGTATAAATAGAACAAACCGTAATAATATATACACGTGCGTATGTATAATATAACTTGTAAAATATTAGTGACACAGCAACATAAAATTACGTAGTTCTGTTTTAAACAATAACGTTGTCACTTATAATAAACGTCAAGCTTATAACAATTTAGTGTGCGCACATAAACGTTTCGTTTGGCCGGCGTTATTGTAACTGACGTTTCGAATAAACTTTCTGGTAAACACAGGGTTTGTGGGAGAAAACTCTTTTCATAAACGTACGAAAGATTTATAAAAAAAAAAATTTATATTTATATATTTTATAAAAACGTTAGTATATTATATATATGTACACGTGTACACCTATAACTACCTTTTCTTTTTTTTTACGAAATTCGTTTTGGTTCAGCCGGCACGTTATAGTTATAATATTGAATTTTATTTTAACTCGAGCAAATATAATATCATATTTACCGCGACTGTACATAGTCGAATTAATTTGTTTTTCGTTTTATAAGCTAGCCATAGGTATTATATTCTACTGATTTTTTTTTTTCGATTCATAAAACTGTTTGTCCAATAGTATACTATTACTAACATATCATTGAATACTAAACTGTACGCTAATCATTAATGACTAATGGTATGAAAAGAACATAATTTAATAATATAATCTACATACGTAAATTATTATTGTAAATGATTGAAATAATTATTACACCAAAAATAATTATGATTTGGATTTATTGTTTGTCGGTACTGCTGTTTTTGAATCAAAGAAAACTTTAATAAGTGTTAAAAACATTGGATACTGTTTTTTATTAATTTTTTTTTGGGATTAACATTGGGAAATTTTAATTTTTACGAGTAATATACGTCGCATTGGAATAAAAAATCATTTTTATCTCAAAAAGTTTAATGTATAAAGTATGATGGTAGTATTTCACGTTAGCTCCACTTAATTGGTTAATTAGTTAAAAAAAAGTGCACTGGAAAGGACTGATCTCTCTATGAGACAAATTTATTTCTTAAGACCAAAGATTATGTGGGATAGTACGGCTTATAGTTCTGTACCAAAGGCCAAATTAGATGAGTGGTTTACGTAAAATTTAAGCCGTTGTTGGTCGACGCAAGATTATTGAGTATGGAATAGTAATCGTGTTATTATTACGTGGAGACCGGATTGAGACAGTAGATTTGGTTAAAGAGTTCGCATAGTTTCTCATACGTATTTTCATACTGTATACAAAACTTACTCGTCCGACAGCAGAAACTTGTCGCCGTCCGAATCTAAACATTTTCCTTTGATGCTGAAGCGGTTGGCTTGCACCACGATCGACTGGCGGATGCCCGACTGAAACCACACGCCCTCCCATCGTGTCGGGAATTTGCAACCCTCTGTAAAAAAAAAACATAATTGTACACGTAAATTACACGGATATTTGATCACGGCGTAGGCGTTACGCAATAATAATAATATGTAAAGGAGTGGCAGTTCCTAGGGATTTTTTAATTAACGTAATGGCGCGGCAGGGTCGACCACACAATGGAAAGGTATCACGCACTATGTACATATGTATATATATGCGAGATATCTCGCGGCACCTGGGACCTACCGTTTTGGCCCATTTCAACCCCTTCGGCACAGCCATGCAAGCCGAATTCCCCAAAAATATTCTTGCCTGCTGTCACTTTTCCGAGAAAATTATTTCTGGATCAGTTTTAGGGACGCCAGAAACAAGGTATGTATACAGATATGTATAAATATTATTTAAATGTACTTAAAAATACATGTATGTATAAATGTATGTATAATATTATGTATATTTATTTATTTACTAAGGACGAGAGTCCTGTATCATAATTATACATTTAGTTAAGGAACGAACATTGTACTATGAATCGATTAATGTTACTAAATTTAAAATAATGATAAATACTAGTAATCAAATATATTAAACAAAACAAGAAAACAGAAAACTATTAAATATTTAAATATAATCAAAAAATTATGTATTATCAACAATCATCAAGAATCCATTTTTTTTGTTTTATTTATTTTTTTTTGTTTAATTTTAGCATAATAATTTGTTTTGACGTATTATTCATCCGAATAATAGGATAATATTCTAAGGTGAAACGAAAGAGAGAACAATAAACGATTTTTAAAGGAATAGGATCCATGAATGAACCACAGGTGCGGTAAAAAAATCCCGAATTACAAAATACTTTGTTTTTGATCGTTTGTGTGCTCAAAAGAAAAATTTAATTTATAATCGAAAATCACGTTAAAATTTTTCGATCGAGAAACACGTTCGACTGTATAGTAGGAAAAACTGTATTTGAAGTAAATTGAATATACTATCGAATAATTATAAAAATGATTACGGTTTACAATTGTTAATATGAAATAAAAAAAAAAAAAAATTGATTAACATTCAATCCGCATACGTATAAGTTTTGCGATGTGCACACGTTCAGATCACGACTGCATAGCGAACGGCGGATGACGCAAACACGTGGAAATTTTCACATCAGCGGATGTACGTCGAATTAAATGTATTAAAAAAAAAAAAAAAAAATCAAAAAATACGCAGAGTCACATTTAATGTCATCGAGTAGTCTTATCTGTCGCAAACTGTCACGAGCACGTGATGGTTCTCCGGTGGCAAACCGTCACCGCTACCAGTACAGCTCCACCAGCACCGATACTACAACCGCAGTGTATATAATAAATTGAAACTTAATCTGTTATACTTTTATGTTCGGCGGCAGTGGGGGCGGTTCCCGAGATATTTTTTGGCACACTTTCTTAGTCACGACTGTATCAGATAAGTAATTCAATTTAATAAAACTAATGGAAAAACTCCCTTCAATCGTACTCTCTTCCTCTGACTGACAGACTGACAAGCCCTTCCCGCTAGGATCACGTCCCATTTCAGCCGGAAAGAGAGTTCGCTATGTAAAAAAAATAAATAAATCCTCATAAAAAAAAATAAAAAAAAAACCGAAACCGAAACAACCGAAACCGTAGTAACACACTACGCACCGCGGTGTGCATTCGTTACGACATCCTCGATGAGGACGTTTCGAGAAGAATTGCAATTCATCCGACGAAACCACCCCGGAATAAGTATTCATTTGGATTTTGTACGAGAGAGAATTCGCTTTGAGTGGAGTGCATTTAGGTGTCGGTGCTTTATTCTCGCGCCGAAAAGAAAAAGCAATCCGTCTCAGGGCGGTAGATTTATATCATTATTTGATGCGCGGATTGTTTCTGTAAAAACGCGGACGTGGAGTTTCGACGGATAAATACACCGATTTATTACTCAAACGGAACTTTGTTATGGAGGGTAGTAGTGTTAGTCCCTTGTCAACCCGATTGATCATAAGTTCCGCGGGAAAAATCATAAAGCTTCTCTACATGGTTCCACTATCCGACGCACTATTCTTAAAAGCGGACGCTACTGATTTCCGAAAGTAGACCGGTCCATCGTGATGGTGCGATGTTTTTCACGGCTGCACTTATTTAGGTGCATTTCCCTTCTAGAATGCACACTATCGACAGTCGAAGTGTTGCGTTAAGCATCGTTTACGTTCTATTTCAGAAACGGACTAGTTGACTAGCGCGATAGTAACGATTGCACGTGCAAAACGTTCTGCTCGCTCAGTAGCCAACTGGCTAGCGATTAAAATCTACGTGGTTTAATCGGTTAGTGAACACTATGATTATACTAGGTGAGTTTACTGACAGACAGTGAATTTGCTCAATGTAAACTAGGCCTTTAACAGACCGTTTCCTATACAGCGTGTACCGATGACTGCACATTTTTTCAACTCAATAAATTCATACGCCATTGCTACCACTGGTTACAACGAACATTCCCATCGATTCGAGCAATTCAAATGTGCACAACAATGCTGCTATCAGATCTTTAAACGTAAAAAAAAACACTTATTGTACATATCATTATTTTATTTTCTCTTACTCGCCCTTTGTTTATAAACTCGTTATACACACATCCTTTGGCTGACGCGCCAGCGCGTGTGCAATTCATTTTTTATAACAGATCTTTCGGCCCATGTTTTTATTTATTTCATTCTCATAAATAGTTTAAGTACACAAACCTCTTCTAGCTATAACTTAAACATTTTCCGTTCTCCGCTCGCGGTCCACTTAAATATTGTTCCGTAACAATATAGTGCACTTCGTTGATTATTTAACCGTTCAATACACGAAACGGTAAAGAAACGTATCAATACTTTTACCGTGTTTATAAATAACGACTGCGAGCTCGTGTACAGTGAGCATGGTATACTCGAAATTCACATTGCGCTTATCAACGATACCGTTGCTCTAGATGTAAAACCAATTCGTTATAATTTAATTGTTTGCAAACACGGATGGGATTTGTTTGGATATTAATTAAAAAAAAAAAAACATACCACAGTCCAGAAGAATTCAATAGTTATTACTACAGTCAGTATAAGACCTAATTCAATACGAAACCACGGAAAAAAATATAATGCTATTCAGATTGTACAATGTGTATAATATTGTTTTATTTATGAAACGATACGCTAACAATTATTATACTTGGTTCTAATTTAGATTTATACATTTTTAGATAAGTTACGTTGTACCACTTACTTTGCGCGGAAAATAATTTCTCGTCCGGTGATAAAACTGTATTGAATATAAAAGGTTTTTATTTAGATTAAAAAATAAATCAATTAGTGCGGTACAATAATAAATTACTTTTAGAACGTATTTATCGATATACCTTCCAATTTAATATTTTCGAATTAATTAATGTTCCCTATTTATCGGAACAGTGCCAAAGTTGGATGATGTATATATAAAAATATATTACGGACAATGTTAAAGTATGTCTCTGCGTATATTTATTATTTCTTTTACTTCTTTCTAAAATTTAATCAATTAAAAAAAATATAATAAAACCGTCCAACTTCTTTAAAGCTTTCTGGATAAAAAAAAAAAAAAAAAAGAGATCAAAATACAAAAAAGACAGAAAAATAAAAAGGTTATGAAAAATAAACGGATTCGTGTCACTAAATGTTATTTGGAAAGTTGGCAAGCAATGATAATATTGTTATTTTGTGCATTAATTGCAAAAAAATTATTATTATTTTTAAACAACTTTTTATAAACAATTAATGTCTTAAAACTTTAACAATGATTTATATATCTATGTATGCGTATCATACGTAAATAAACTAAATATTCATTCCTTATAAAATGAACAATGCGATAATTAATACATTTTTTAATCATGATTTACAAATTGAATAGTAATTTATATTATACATCGAAACATCAAGAAAGCTTACCGTTGTGTAAAATATTAATAAAGATTTACCTCTTATCTAAGGCCTAAATTGGAGTTATGAAGGTTCGATCTTTACAAACACATTTATAATAATGAAATAAGTTTTGTGAGAATCGTTGTCCATCTTATATCAAATTATGTTTATACTGAATAAACCCCCCGTGTATACATTTAATGAAACGTTGAAACAAACAATATGTACTCAAATCAATGTTAATAACAGAGTTTCAATTAATTAGACCATATTCATTTACAAAAACCTCAATTTTTGTTCTTGCAATTTTCATTATTTGAAATAATATTTTTAGTAGGTACTCCACTGTACTTGATATTTTTATATTAAAAAAGTTTTAAATTACTTACGTATGATTTACGGTAAAACTATTAAAAAATATTAACAATATTAGATTTTATAACGAGTAAAATAATTGTAAATCACAACTGAAAAATAAAATCACGTTTAACAATTCAGAATATCTACGAGAAAAAAATTGTGAATCAACTACACGGTTTTTATTTTTACCACCAAGTCACACGTAAGTTAATTACACGTACAGTTTAGTTTTGCAGCTGAATAAAAAAATCACGTAGATGAAACCTGTGAAAAAGTATACGATAAAATACCGTACAGACCTGATGTTTTTACAAACACAATTAATAATGAACTTTTACTAGGTAATCACAATCTATAAAGGTTTCATAAAAAATGTATGTAGTATATATAGACAATGTAGACAATAGAACAAAATAATGAAAGGTTTGTCCACACTCTACACGCGTCATACTATGGTTCTAAAAGGTGTAGTGTACTTTTAAATGTTTATGAATTTTTTTTAAGTCATATTAATGACGTAACAAGACATGACACTAGAGTACAAAGAAAAAAAATACTTAGAACAATCACAACAAATACTCGTACCCATATAATTTTTATCGTTCTTTTTATGTGACACTCGACAAATCTAAATAATATCCAGACTTGAGTAAAATACTTTTTAAAAGTATTTGGAATAAATACTCGAATACTTACAAAAAATAGTATTGCAA